GCAGCAAATGGAGAATGCCTGACAGAACATGCAGAAGACAGAGCACTGGGCTGAGCACATAGCTGGCATCCTATATAATAAAAGCCTAGGTGGCGTCATGCCCTCGTGCAACATTTTCACAAGATGGCCACCCTCACGTCATCACAATGCTGGAGGGGCTAAGAAATATCATATCCTGCCCTAACTCTTTTGGTTCAGTGGGTAGAACATCAGCCTATGGACTGAAGGGTCCCAGGTTCTATTCCGATCAAGGGCATGTACCTTGGTGGCAGGCACATCCCCAGTAGGGGGTTTGCAGGAGGCAGTTGATCAATTTCTCTCTCATCGATGTTTCTAAATATCCCTTCCTCTCTGTAAAAAATCAATAAAATATATATTTTAAAAAAATGTCATGTCCTGCCCTAGCCGGTTTGGCTCAGTGGATAGAGCCTCAGCCTGCTGACCGCAGGGTCCGGGTTCGATTATGATCAAGGGCATGTACCTAGGTTGCAGGCTCCCCCCTGGTTGGGGCCCAGGTCACGGCTCATGCAGGAGGCAACCCATCAAAGTGTCCCTCTCACATTGGTGTTTCTCTATGTCTCTCCCTGGTCCTATATAATAAAAGCCTAGGTGGCGTCATGCCCTCGTGCAACATTTTCACAAGATGGCCACCCTCACGTCATCACAAGTTGGCCAGCAGGGGAGGGCAGTTGTGGGCGATCAGGCCTGCAGAGGAGGGCAGTTGGGGGCAACTAGGCCTACAGGAGAGGGCATCTGGGAGCGACCAGGCCGGCAGGGAAGGGCAGTTGGAGATGACCAGGCTTGCAGGGGAGGACAGTTGGGGGCCATCAGGCTGGCAGGGGAGGGCAGTTGGGAGTGATCAGGCAGGCAGGGGAGCAATTAGGGGCAATCAGGCAGGCAGGCAGGTGAGCGGTTAGGAGCTACAAGCAGTCCCGGATTGTGAGAGGGATGTCCGACTGCCAGTTTAGGCCCGATCCCTAAACTGGCAGTCAGACATCCGCCAAGGGGTCCCAGATTGGAGAGGGTGCAGGCCAGGCTAAGGGACACACACCCCGCCTGTGCACAAATTTCATGCACCAGGCCCCTAGTATTACTAATAAATTGAACCAAGAAATGGAAAACTTGATAAAAGAACAGTTTCCTGGAAAATGTAACTTAGGATAATGAACTGAAAAAAACAGGAAACCTGCACGGACCTATTATCACTAAAGAAATTTAGTGCTTAAAAAAACCTATCTTCAAAGCCCTAAATATTAGGCAGTTTTATAAGTAAATATTATTAAATTTCAAGATACAAACAACCTCCATTTTATACAAGTTCGAGAGAGCAGAAAAGAGGAAAAAGTCCCAAACTTATTTTATGAAACTGGTATAACCATACCAAAACCACACAAAGACAGTATAAGAAATTAGAGGGCAATTTAATTGATATTCTCAAGTAATTTACCACATTAACTGATTAAGGGAGTAAAAATAATACATGCAGGAAAAGCATTCAATAAATTTTAATTCTTCATTAAAAACTAGAGGCCGGTGCACGACATTTGTGCACTGGGGGGGAGGGGGGGATCCCTCAGCCCGACCTGCACCCTCTCCCATTTGGGAGCCCTCTCCAATCCCGGAGTTTCTGTCTGTCTTTGTAATCATATTAGCAAACTGTCTGAGACCCCAACTCAGTTTGGTTTGTTGCTCACGAATAATAGAAGGCATTTTTTTTTCCCTTGCTTCATTGGTGGAGATTTCCTGGAAGTTTTAGGATATCTTTCCTTTAATTTTTCCTAGACACTCTGATCTTACTTATGTCTCTCACCTCT